GGCTGACCAATATAGTGGCTCCAACTCCACCTTTTGCTGACTTTTTTTTTACTCTGCCTGTCATGGGACGGTGGCTTCATCTGCAGGCTTCATCCTGCCATGCTGGCCTTGGGTGTGGACAGGGTGACATTGCAGGGTCAGCTCCCTTTGGGGCTATGAACCATGTGGGCAGGGTAGACACCTGCACAAAATCATTCTTCTGTTAGGAAGAAGGAAGGGAACGATACTGAGGGCAGGATGAAGTGCAGGTGGGTGGCCGACTTGGGTTCTTCCTGCTGATCCTCTGACCAGCTGTGTGAGTTGGGGGAAGCCACTTCCGCTCTCGAGGCCTCCTATTTTTCATCTTATAACAAAGAGATTGATCTAGAGCAGTGATGGCGAACCTATGACACACGTGTCAGAGGTGACACGCGAACTCATTTTTTTGGTTGATTTTTCTTTGTTAAATGGCATTTAAATATATAAAATAAATATCAAAAATATAAGTCTTTGTTTTACTATGGTTGCAAATATCAAAAAATTTCTATATGTGACACGGCACCAGAGTTAAGTTAGGGTTTTTCAAAATGCTGACACGCCGAGCTCAAAAGGTTCGCCATCACTGATCTAGAGAATATTTAAGGGGTCTTGGACTCTATGCAATGAGATGTTCACGGATTACTCAATGCGGGCCTTCGAGTGTGGGAAACGATTCTAGTCGTTTGTGGAAGATGGTACTTCCCAGAGATGACCCCAGCAACTTCTCCATCCCACGCGCCCATCTGCAGTGGAACCTTGCCACTCCGCCATCAGGTGACGGAGTCTGATTCTCAGCCCCTGGCATCTGTGCCAGCCTGATGACTCGCCTGGACCCAGCGGGCCACAGTAGCTTATACCTAATAAACTATGGGAGAAGTGACACTGAAAAGGCCGTGCAGACTCCAGTTGGTTCTCTCAGCACACCAGCTGCAGGAGAATCCAGCGCCATATAAGAAACCCAGCTACTCTGAGACGGCCTCGCTGGAGAGGCCGTGGGAAGGCGTTCATGTGGACAGCTCAGCTGAGCTTCCAGCCCAGAGCCAGCATCAGCTGCCCGCAGTGAGTGTGCACCACCTTGGACCTCTAGCCCAGGCTGACCTTCGGATGACTGAACCCTCAGCTGACATCATATCGCAGCTCCATGAGACATCCCACAGGTGGATAGTCCCGCTAAGCCCGTCCAGAATTCCTAACCCAGAATATCAAGAGCAAAAGAAGATGATTGCTGCCCTAGCCAGTTTGGCTCAGTGGAGAGAGTGTTGGTCCTCAACTGAAGGGTCCCAGGTTTGATTCCGGTCAGGGGCATGTACCTTGGTTGCAGGCTCGATCCCCAGTGGAGGTTGTGCAGGAGGCAGCTGATCGACGTTTCTCTCTCATCGACATTTCTAACTCTCTATCCCTCTCCCTTCCTCTCTGTAAAAATCAATAAAATACTTTTTTTTAAAAAAAAAAAAGATGATTGCCATCCTTCACCCTTATGTTTCGGAGTGACTTGTTATGCATCAGTGGTAACCAGAATATCCTTAGAGTGGAGTGGGCATAAGTGAACCAGGAAAGATTTAGACTCAACTTTGAGAAGTTGTTTCTGATAGTTGCAAAGCATTGAAAATATTTTGATTCTTTTTTTGTGGCTACTTACGAAATCAGGAGGTGAGATTCTTTGAGGAATGACCTGGGGGAGTCTTGCCAGGAGGTCATAACAATGACCTTCTCATTTAGGCAGCCCTTTGGAGTTTGTGAAGGGCGAATGAACTCATTTGAATGTCAGAACTAAGGGCTAGGGCACAATTCAAGCCCCATCTTTGTTCAGTCCCCCTCCTGGAATTCCTGAGCCTTGCCCACCTGTTTTTTCTTGGAGAGAGAACACTAATGGATGAGCAAAACCTCCCTTCAGTGAGCACCCGTATGTAATGGGCCAACTTCCTAATCCTCTCCACATTGTACCTTCGATGGGGACAGCAAAGAGGGCTGGAGGCCTCTGAGCTACCAAGTTTCCTTGTTGGCCCTCCTGTGCTCCTCTGATGGTCTCAGGGTCCCGCCCCAGCAGCCCCTAGTACAGCTGTTTTTAGCAGCTGCTGCCTTGACTCTTAGCAGTTGCACCTTTGATTAATGGTTTTTCTTGAAGTTATACAATCAAAACTTATGATGGCTCTGTGAGGCGGGCAGAGCAGATGTTATTAACACTATCATGGTAGCCAGCCTTTGAGATGGCTCCCAATAGTTTGTACCTCCTGGTATTCACATCCTTCAACAGGTTGACTTGGGTAACAAATGGGATAGTTTAACTTTAGAGGCTATGGCTTAATCGAGTGTGGCTTCTGTCTTGCTCTCTCAGATTGCTCACTCTGGGAAAGACCAGCTACCATGTCAGGAGGACCCTCAACCAGCCCCATGGAGAGACTCCTGCGAATAGCCTTGTGAGTGAGCTGTCAGTAAGCAGACCCTCCAGCCCCAGTCCAGCCTTCAGATGACTGGGGCCCCAGCAGACACCTTGACCTCCTCTCATGAAAGATAATGAGCCAAAACCACACAACTGAGTTGCTCCTAAATTCCTGACCCAAGAAAACTGTTTAAGGTAATAAATGTTTATTATTTAAGCTACTAAGTTTTATATATATTTGATTTCAGAGAGGAAAAGAGAGGGAGAGAGCTAGAAACATCAATGATGAGAGAAAATCATTATTCAGCTGCCTCCTGCACGCCCCCCACTGGGGATTGAGCCTACAACCCGGGCATGTGCCCTGACCAGGAATCTAATTGTGATCTCTTGGTTCATAGGTCGATGCTCAACCTCTGAGCCAAGCTGGCCAGGCTAAACTACTTAGTTTTAAAGGAATTTTAAAAAGAGTAATAAGTAATTACAAGTGAGAAGCTGAGGCTCAGAGACATACAGTGACTAGCCCAAAGTGACACAGCTGGAACTGGGAAGAGCACCCTCATCTTGTGACTGCTGACTCATACAGACAGGTTCTGTTAGTCCATGACTCAGCATTTCTCTAATTTAGCCCCAGAAGAGGGAGAGATGAGGCTGCAGGCATGGAGCAGTGACGGCCCAAGCAACCCTGCCACACTCAGGCCCCAGACCCACACAGCTCCTCCCCAGGAATCCAGGGCTAGGGAGAGCGGCTGAGACCCTTGGCTCCCATTTGCATGGGGCCTCCATGACGAGGAGAAACAAGCCAGCATCCCGACCTTCTCACCTGGACAGACCCCCACACACATGTTCTGGGCCTCAGCCCTGACCACTAAGAACACAATTGCTGAGCCGTGATGCTGCAATCCTGCTGGGCTGTGGCACAGGTGTGTGTTCGGGGGGAGGGGGAGGGGGGGGAGGAGCTAGGGCCTAAGAGTCCTGACTCAGAGTCTGGCCTGGTCTCCAGTGCCCTCACTGCTGACTCCTGTGTCCTCTTTAGAGAAGTCACTCCAGTGAGGGGTACTTTCAGTTCCCATGTGAATCACTGTCCACATGATCACCGGTCACCCTGCCGCAGCCTGTGGCCTACGTGAGCTCTCGGTGGTGACAGTGTGGGTTGGTCATGCGGTCGGCCTGGGGCAAGTCTATCTGGCTGTTTCTTCATCCTTCCAGCTAAATGGGACTTATTCCAGCAAGAGCCACTATGCTCCCCCCACCCCCAACCCCCTGGGTTTGTGCACGTCAAGAGGGTGGTTTAAGACAAAGGGTAAGCAGTTCTTGCTTGTCTTCAGAGTCTCAAGTCCAGCTGTTGGCGCTGTGGAGGGAGCATCAGATAGAGGCCTAAAGCAGTGGCTGGGATTGGCAGCAGGAAGCGGAGAAATGCTCACGGGATGGACATAGGATGCGGCAGGGAGCAGCCCCTTGGCTGTGCAGACCTGTGGAAGGGAACAGGGAGAGACCTGAGGTGGTGACATTTCTTGATAAAGGACCTCAACAGCCCAGCGGAGGGTCTTATGCCTATGACCTTGTGTGGCATTCAAGGACTTCCATAAAAGAAGAGGAAAAAAAACAGGTATAGGACACCTGGGTTCTAATCTAAACTCAAGATTCCATCACTTGGATAACCTTGGAAAAGTTGTTGGCTGATCTGGGCCTCGGTTTCTTCCTGAGTCAGGTCAAGCAAATGGTATTCAGACTGGGTTCCCTGGGATACCTAGGGTTCTGCAGACCTACCTTAGAGTTTGGCATTGGGAGGGAGCCTCTAAACCAGTGCTGTCCAATAGAAATATAAAGTGAGTCACATATACAATTTAAACAATTTTTAGTGGCCACATTTTTAAAAATCTAAAAACAAATAGGTAGAATTAATATTAATAGTATCTTTCAACATATAACCAATTTATTACGTTTATTAAGATATTTTAAATTCCACGCTTTGTACTAATTTTTCAATATTTGGTGTATAATTTGTGCTTAAGCACAACTCAATTCTGACCAGCCACACTTCCTGCGCTCAATAGCTGACCTGTGCAGAGGAGGAATCAAGGCTTTGAGTAAGAGCAGAAGACTCTCCCTGGTGGACAAAACGGAAAGTGCAGGAGAGACCAAAGGATTTAAATGAGTAGAACACCTGA